ACATTTTTATTTAGTTACCGTATAAAAGTGAACTAGCCAATTTAAAATGTTTATAACTTTTTTTAGAAACGAGACTTAATAGTTTTTTCAACTGGAATGGTAGAACTCGACGAGATCTATCGATTCCAATCGAAAATTTTATTTAGTTACCGTGAGGTGAAATTTTCCCTTTTTTTTATCCCCTGGCTTAAAAGGGAAGGGCATGCGCATGGATTCGAATTCGAACAAACGTTGCACAATCTCTGCACATCCGTTGTAGGGCTTTAAATCAAAACCAACCGTGCCTCCTTGAACTTTTTGTACTTGAGGATGAGAAGGAACAGCGTGATGGCCCCGACTAAAATGAAGCGTGGTATTATGTAAGCAGCATATCTGTCAGACTTGCGAAACTATCGATCGGACTCCTCGTTAGCAAAAAAATTTATCTTTTCTGATGGGCCTCCAAACGGAAAGCTTCAAAACATGGAAGTGCACAAGCCCAATCTTTGCTGGTGACGTTGGCCAAAAATAGCTTACCTACGAAGGTGACAATTGCCGCGATCATTTGCGAAGTGAACCGGCCCGAGGCCTCGGCATTTCTGCCGAGTGCCGTCACGATCCCTGTCTGTCGTGTCGAAGTCGGGCTCGATGCAAAAGCCCTGCAAAAATTGGTTATTTGACAGAGGTGACCAGGGGCCATACCACATCCGCATCCTCAGCCCTGGCGCAGTCGGTGGGCACGATTTGATACCTGGCCTTGTGACCGTCGGCGGCGGCCTTGTAGTAGGGATTGGCGGCGCAATTCAGGAACATGTTGTCCCGAATCAGCCCAAGTTGATGCTCCTAAGAGATGAGATATAATCCTCGTTATACGACGAGCGTCGTACCGCCAGGCCAGCCGTGGCTTGGATGCACTTCTTCGGGTAGGCCGACCCGTTGGTTCCCTTCCAGTTCAGATCTGTGATGTCCTTTCCGGGAGGAACGACGCGTACGGTGGTGACTGAAAAATAAATGCTATTCCGTCCAAGACGGTTCCCACCTGTGATCGGAAACCCTTGACGAACATCCCGTTCTCCCGAACGTCCAGTGGGATGCATGCCTTGTCGGCAAAGTGGTGGTCCGCATAACGGCACCAATCCACAAACTTTGACGGTCGGGGGCAGGCAGGAATGTGCCCTTATCCTCAAAGTCGTCTGCGATGAAGTATCTGAAATAGTTGGCATAGACTAGCGCTGCAAATCGATTCCCCTACTTGCGGCCTTTGAGTGGTGGTGGAAGGCAGTCTTCCATTCCCAGCTGTTGCGGCGAGCACCACTGCAAACATCCGCATAAGGGTGCAGTTTAATAGTTTAAAGGGGCGCCGAAATGCCAAAGACAAGCCCTGTTGGGAGGGGCCTCTATTATTGGCAAATTGCCAGCGGCCGCTGCGGGATGAGAGCCCTCGTTCTTTCGATTTTTGCGCGAAACGTTTACGCTTGATTTCATGATGAAAAAAAAACAGCTCTAATTCGCAAATTTGAGCTCATATGGGAAATTCTCCAATTTTTAAATGGTTTTGGCCTTTTAACCATCGAATTTGGTCCAGAAATTGCCGAGTACGGGTTTGGCGGTGACAACAATTAATTTCAAATTCAAGCGCTCCCTGGTCCTATTGGTTGTACGAAAGCCTTCGACGTTTAGAGCTCCCCTTATCGGGCCGTAACTGAATTTTCGGCATGCGCAACCCTTGAAAAAGCTTTTCAGTACCTTGTAGCTCTTCCACTGCTCAGCGGCGGGTTGGATTCGATGGGCGAATATCTTCGTCGGCGAACATCGAGCGTCCGTCACTCAAATCGTCTGCCGAGACCCGCGTATTGGTAAAGACTCGGATACACGGGATGGTGGTTGGACTGCGCGCATGTCCGTTCAGGATCCTGAAGTGACCGGTTAAGTTAATCACAGTGCTAGCATCTCACTCGGGGACAGTGAAACCAGCGTCGCATTGCACCACATATTCCAGCCCCAACGTCGGCGGCTTGTACGCGATCTGGGCCGTAAGACTAAAATAAATAGTGCGTCGATCACGCAGAATCTGACGTTTTCGGGCAGGTCCCCTCACGGATCATCTGCCGGCTGCAGAGGTTGTGCGGGAAGACCATCTGATTCGCTGAAAATGCAGTACGTTGCCAGATGGAAGGTTCTGGAGCGGACCGTTCTATAATCCGGAAGCGTGAACTGGACGCTCTTGATGCAATTCCCGTCCGTAGAACTCCTTGCAATACAGCGGCCTCGGGTCGCAGTCGATCGTCCAGCGTCCGGTTGCCTCATCAAGTCCGGGAGAGGGGCTCCGATTTGACATTTCGGCGTACACTCTGGGACACTGAAAGCATAGGTCGTATTTTAGAGCTAAAAACCATATAAAAATCAAAAAATTTCGACATTTTTTGACTTCTTGGGAAGTCTTCAGATAAGTCCCCCCCCAGTTGAGCCCCCACCTTTATCTGGGTTCCCTTTCATCCAGGTGTGTGAAGGATACCAAAATATTCACCTTGAACCGGCGGAGTATTTCGGTATACTTTACGCACCTGTGATGAACAGGGAGCCTGAGATACTGTAGGGCGGAGAGGGAGGTATCTGGACTTCAGCCTGAGTTTTTGGTCAAAAATGAAGAAAAATGGCGAAAAAGGTTCAAAACTTTCGAGAATTTGAAGATTTTTCTCCCCCATAGCTAACAGTCCAGAACGAAAAATGGACATTGTTATGTAGAAACGACGCAAGCAATTTTACCAGAAATAGTATGAAAACACTGTGATTATTCGCATTCAAACCACTTGCACAGGTTTCCCCCACCTTAACACCCGCTAACATGCCGGAGAGTTCACTGTACACAGCTTGGCTTCGAGCGATCTCATTCGCATGGCAGATGAAAGGCACGTTTTTCTGCACTGAAAAAGATGTTGCCTGTTGGCAACCCGTAATGCATACCTCAGGTTCGCTGGTTTGCTGAGGGCCGGCCGGTGGAGGATTTCTGGAAACCCGGAGCAGAGTAAACGGTAACGGTCTAGTAGTCCTGGGCTTTAGCCAAAGTTCGACCCTTTTACATCTAATATACATACTAAAAATAACTCCCCGCCCCCAGTCGCAACTTTTCAGCCACACGTCCTATACTGTCCTGTCTTATATAATTTTGAGATGAATCTCTTTGTGTGCGTCCGGCCGTCACTTTCGAGACCGGATTTGAGGGCTTTCCCCGTGTCGAAAACGTCCCAAATTTCGTGACTTGCGTAATCGACCCTCCTTTTCCGATGGCGTTCTCAGAATTTTGATAAAATTCCAGTTCACAAAGTTAATGTAGGTTTTATTCGTGGTTACGGTTTACTTTACCTCCCCCTCCCCCCAGCCGGAAGTTTTTGGCTATAACTTTTTTATTTTACATTATTGTAGGCTCAAATTAAAACTCTTAGTATATTTTCGACGCTCTATCGAATGGCGTTGCAAAATCCCGACAAAATAAGCTAAAATACCGAAAACTTCGAGACCCTTCGGCTGTGGGGGAGTAAAGCAAACTCTTACTTATTCATTTTTGACGTCCCTGATGGCTGATTTGCTTACTGTGAAAAAAAATAGAAATTTCCTTATTCTAGCAAGTTAAACGCGCGCGTGTGGTCGGGACAGGGGAGGGGTCCGAAGGACCCGAGCTATCGAAAAGTCAAATTTCCGACGCAAAGACAGCATTCCAAGGCCGTTTGTTTTGGGCGCTGGTTAATGAATAAGAACTTCTTGATGACCTCTTCCACAAAAAATCGATTCCGTATCAAACTAGACCGTACTTCTGGGGCAGGGCGCCGACGGCGTTGATGAACACGAGCGATCCGATGAAGATGAGCATCAGCAACAGGCGCTGTGGCGACGACGGGTGGCCGAACATCAGAATGGACGGCTGGGGCGAGACGAGAATGAGTTCGTCGAGTTCCGGTTTGTGTTTATGTGCGAAAACTCTTACAAAATAGGTAGCGTTTCCGGCACGGAAATTTGCAAAATGCAAATTCAAAATACAAAAAGTTGGTTGTCCTAAAAATTATCTGCCCCATATTTTTCTCAAAAGCAGCGTTGAAATTCTCGTGCTTTTCCTTCCTGTTTCCGGTTTCCTTTCCTTTTGAATCCCAGTTTATTCCGCACACGCACAAAAATCTACAAAAATTTATACGAAGCCATGTGGAGGCCGAAGAGGGGACACGGATGAAGCCCGGGATCCAGCCGGCCTAGAAAAAGTGAAAAAAATCAAATAAACATCGTATACACCCACCAGCCGTTTCCAGCCGAGGAACTCGAGCGCCGTCGATAGCTGCCGCATGTCGCCCGGCATTTTCCTGGGCAAAAGCCGTATAACGTACCATTTTCTATACCATACTGTTTTTATTTCTATGTAATCCCTTATTGAATAATCGTAAAACTTGGATCTTGGCTGGATATAAAATTTGGCATACCGTCAATATCCTTAAAGCCATACTCCCGGGCCAGATCGTAGGTCAGCAAGATTTTGCCGGATTTGCGAAGCTTCTGAAACATGAAAAACATTGGTTGCTTCGCATTATCGGGAGTTTAGCACGGGCGGGGAAATCAAATTTTTTTCAGAGGATCCAGCTTTTCAAATATAAATAGCGAAAGTGTTTCTAGACTGTTTTTTACTATTCCTAAACGTCAAAACTTTACATAGTATTGTTAGAAAATAAAAAAACTATCGATTTTCGACCAAAATTTCGACGTTTTGAAAAAGTTTGAAAGTTTTTCTAGCTGAAACGGGGTTTTTGTTTCCTAAAAACACGATTAAAACACTTACTGTCGAGTTACTAGACATTTCTAAACTGATAGAAAAAAAAGATTGGCGCAATTTTGGCATTTTTCTGCCCTTTTAATCACTCAGAATCGACCGAATTTTGTCGACTGGCTGTCGCCAGCTACGTGACACTTCAAATGACCCAGGCTAACAAGTGCTCTCACCCCAAAAGTCTTTGCTGGTTTGCCCCCAGGTGAAGCGCTCAATCACTTGCGCTTTGATCCCTGGCCAGGGCGACGATGCCGAGCCCGGAGAATTCTGGCGATTCGGCCGTCGCCACCTGCTTGTCCGCCAGAGCTTTGTCGATTTTCAGCACGGTGGCAATCTCGTCCCGCTGCTGCATCAGTTGCGCCATTTCGGTCCTAGAAATGACCAAGTCCGCTCAAAATTATGCGGGATTAACAGCTCATCGCCCCTCAGGATCGGATCCTCACCTAACCGTACCGGGCCACACGGTAACGCAGGTCACTTGTACGGCTTCAGCTCGACGGCCATGTCGGGCGACATTCGATCTACCTAAAGGTTCGGATTTTCGTCCTTTTATATTAAAAAATGTACGAAAGCTGAGCAAAAAGGTCACAATTTCGAATTTTTGGAAATCCCAAAATATTGCTTGTAACCTTCTAGCCATCAAAAACTACGAAAGATTTAGAAAAATTCATAAAAGTCGAATCGACGCGGAAAAAAGGCAAAAATTAAAATTAGCTTTCCCTGCTAAAAATTCCCCCTCCCCCGCTAACAGCCCAGTGCCGAAAGAACTGCCGATCTCTAGCTATCGGATAGAACATAGCGTCACTTTGAAGAACCAGGAGTGCACCTACCGCGCACTTGCCGACTCCATATGCCACGTTGAAGACGTACTGCAGCCCGCCCGCCGACGAAATGTTCACGATCAGACCGGTCCTGGAAAAAAAAGCAAATCCTAGCGGTGTTTTAGAGAAATCCCAGAACGACTACAAGCAACAGCCTGGTCCAAAAACGTTCTCGTTAGTTCAAAATCTCATACTTTCAATAAGCCCCAGTTGATCTCACTGTGTGTGCCAATTTTTAGAATAAAAGTTCACTAAAACCAGCCGAAACACCAACTTCCGCTTGACCATCATCCGCGCCGCGTACACGGCACAAACATAGTTGTTGCGTAGCCCGACGCTGTTCACCGAATCCCAGAACTCGGGCCCAGCTCGAAAAACCGGGCCCCTCTCGCCTTGCGGAAGTCCTGCAATGGGGAGTCTGGTATCGCACAAATACGCGTAACACGCTGAACCGCTAAAAGACTATTGATTACATGCCGGCAGAAACATCGGCGAATTCGGGTGCTGGACTGTTAGCGGGGGTTATCAGGGGGAAATACCCATTTCCGTTTTTCTACCTATACTTGCCTGTTGACCATACAAAATGTATTTTTCTCGTGTGTTTAGTAGGTTTTCATTGCTAGAAAGTCCTAAAAATTTAGTTTGAAAAATTCAAACATTTTTACCTTTTGATCATTTTTCATACATTTTCATCAAAAAGTCAAAGATTTTCGAAAATTTATTTTAGTTTTTCGATTGTTTTTATATCTAAAAACTATGTAAAATACCATAAAAATGACTTATATTTTTGTTATGGGACCGTAGTGATACCACAGGGGAATATTTGGTTCTCTCCCTCGCTCAAAATCCCCTGCTAACAGTTCAGATCCGTTTAATGGACGGTGCGATTTGCTAACGCTGTCCTGCCCGGCTTATTTTCGTACTTTGACGCTCAAAATGCCGAAATGGAAATGTCGACATTTCTAACAGAAGATTTTGCATAAAATTTTGATTTGTTCCGTGCACCACCGGCATTTCCACAAATTAACCCTGCTAGCCTGCCCCTAACGCGCTGGATACCTGAACCTGAAAGGCCCGTAAAGGCACACCTGAATGGCCGAGTAGGCATTGTTCACCAGAATGTCCAGACAGCCGGCCGTCTCATTTTCGATCTGATCGAACAGCCTGGAAACCGGACAATACGGATTAACTCGATTGGATACCTTTTGATGTCGTCATCGTTGCTGTGGTCACAGTAGACGGCCACGCCTGCTGCCACGGTCTTCGATATCTGAAGGCAGGCTAGCAGGGTGAATTTGAGGACCGAGACTCAACGTCTCTCTCTCTCTCTCTCGATCTCGCTCTTTCTGTCTCTCTCTCTCTCTCTCTCTCTCTCTTTTTCCCTTTTTCTGACGCTTTTCGCTCGATTTTCTATAACTCTCATACGCTTGCGAATTGATATAAAAAAGAGAGGAGAGAGAGAAAGCGGTAGCAGTGATCCCTTGGGAAGCCCCGCCCACCTCGAGCAGTCTGCTGAAGCGCAGGGAGCGTCGTTTCGACGGTCGTATCACTTTTGCCGGCTCCCGCCCGGTGATGTATACGGTAGCGCCGGCTTGGGCCAGCTGCAGTGCGATGCCTACGTTTTTCGATATTACACCCAAGTAATATGCTTTTAAAGGAGCTAGGAACCCATGGCCCCAATGGACCCTCCGGTCGACTAGGCATCGACACCTACGTATTATTACTAGGGATCTCAAAATATCAACGTTGGGGTAAGATTTTACCCCTTCCAATGCCACGGCTGGCGCCGGTCACCAACGCGTATTGCCCTGCCAAGGGTAGTGCCATTTGGATGGTAGTGTAGGCGAACGCTAAGAAAAACACGTAAAGATGCAAAGAGGAAACTAAAAAATCATCAGAAAAGCAACGGGGTGCTTCCTGGTTATCGGGGGTCGGTTATTTTAGTGGGGGGTCGGTTGCGAACTTTTTTCTATAATATCGTGCGGCTCGGCTAATTAAAAACTGGCCGTTTTTATAGACTTGTGCGCCGTTTGAAATGGTCTGGACTGTTAGCGGGGGAGGAGACATTAAGAAAAACGTCATAAAACATGTTGAAAAAATTCCTTTTTCGGTCTAACGTATATGAAAATGGCTAAAACCGCGCTATAACCCTAGATTTCGTGACTATAGGATAAATATTTTTATAATTTTTGATTATCGGAAGCTACTAAAAACAGTATTAAAATAAACTACAATTTATCACTCGGCAGGTATAGGCTAAACGAAAAGAAGATGCCAACCGACCCCCGATAACCAGGAAGCACCAGCAACGAGAGTGAGAAAGAGAGAGGAGAGAGAGAAAGCGAGAGTGAGAGAGAGAGCACGGGTCAGCGAACAAGATAGTATGAAATAGTAAGTGAAAAGTTCTTCGGAACAAATCGTACAAACTCCGCCTTGCTTCTTATATACAAAGAAAAGAAGGTGATGCAATTAACTTTCGAGAATATTGCGGAGAGCCCTGGAAACGATGAAAACACGGAAAAAAACGAAAAAACGCTGACAATGCAGGCAGCGAGGGCAATCTTTGCGCCCTTGTTATGCCAGTTTTCGGGGCCAATACACCCAGGGAGCAGGTCGGTGTGGAGAGGACGCAGAGAAGACGATACCGAGCCGGGAAACAGATAAAAACTCTAGCCTCGTAGCCCCTGGTGACAACCGTTTTCCTGAAATTTGGGGAATTTTTATCAGGGCTCCGCTCATGGTCTAGATCTTACCAAATTTTGGAGGTGTCTAATCTCCCCGCCCCCTATAATACGCAAGCACCAAAATACTATTTGGGTACTGGACCGTTAGCGGGGGAGCACCGTTTTTTTCCACCTACGCCTACCTGCTAATAGTATACAACGTATTTTGATGGGGTTTTTAATAGTTTTGATTACCAGAGAAGTTAGCCAAAACTATTCTACTCATTCGAAAACAAAGAAATCTCGAATGTCTATTAACTTTGCTACATTTCGAACAAAAGTGAAAGCTTAACGTAGATGTTATAATTTTTGATAACCAGAAGAACGAAATCCATGCGACTCACGTCACAAGAACGCCTTTCATCGCTTCAACAGATTCAAAATAAATTCGTTTATTGGAGGGCGACACCCGAAATGGGAAGCGTTCGAAAAATCGTGCTATTCGACGACAATGTTGACGGGGTAGCGGAGCGGCGTCGTCTGGTGGAACGCTTCGGCATCGAACAGCTTGCCCGGCTCGGTGGGCAACACGTCGACGGCGAGACGGCAATTCCCGGGAGACACCGGCAACGACAGGTCAATCTGAACGAAACGAGATTTTAAATGTTTCCGTAAAATTATTTCCTTTTCGGGAACAGCATCTACAAAGCTCTCCGTGCAACAATTTATCGGTCGAAAAAGCGGGCCTCACCTCGCCACTTCTTCCGGCTTCCACAATCCCGTGGGTTGGCGACGTCGAGAGGCCCGGGCTGTTGTTCACTAAAATTAGAACATTAACCCGAATCCTTCTCGTGCTGCAGATTTTACAGTAAAAATGCTTACCTTTCACTTTATACATCACGGGCACGTTGAGCGTATTGAAGACGCGGATATGTGGGGCGACGGGTGAAAATTGTTGACGCGAATCTAGGAAATCATGCTATTGAGCGTAAGCACCATCAAACTTTCAGACGTTCCTGGGAGCACAATCTGGTTGATGACAATATCGTGGACACAGGGCTGACGCGCTCGTAGATGGAGTCGCCCCATGGACCCGCCGTCTAAAGGATACGAATAGAACCCGGCAACGCTCAAAAAAACCCGCCTGAATGCCCAGCGAGCTGCATTCGTCGTCGTCGGCGCGTGTCGGTCGCTGGTAGTAGCCGTCCTGGCGGGGGTCGGCCATCTCGACCGCCAAAGTCTTTCAACAGACGGCCGGAGCCCGAAATATCCGGCGGGTGTGAGAACTGGAAATAGAATTCATGGAATAGCAAAAGCAAAATTACGATCTTGGCGCTTCTCGACGGCGCTGCACCGATCGGCCGTCGACAGCGTGATCTCGCGCGTGTCCCGGTCAACGTTACAGTCGGAAGGGCGGGGGCAACCGGTTGACGGGTCTGAGCATATCATTACAGAAAACCCAAAGCAGGCTACCGATGGCGATGGCTGAGCAGCGAGTTCGGCACGTTCGTCACGCGGATCGGAGCTCACGCAGCCGCAGCGAGATGTAGAACAGCAGGGGGCTGAGATGTGGATCTGGAAAGGAATTCGGTGATGGCACACGCCATGAAAAACGGGTACTGGACCGTTAGCAGGCGGAGGGGGAAAATTACGAAAATTTCGTTCTTTTTTGGTAATTTCCACATACACTTTTGACCAAACATCAAAAATTTCGTGTATTTCTAGAAGTTTCCCCCTGCCTACAGTCCAGTACCAAACAAAAAACGCACCGCCTGAACCAGATAATAGCCGAGAATGTGCCCGAGAAGGGGGTTCGCGGCGAAGAACAACGCCTTGCCAGCCCAGCACCATTGGATCAACTTCTAAAAAAGATAAAGTATTTGCACAGCCGTTGTTTGGTACCCTGATCGACGGATGGTGCAGATGCTTGACGGCCCGTAGGGTGAGTAGAATCGAAGGGACGATTGTGATCAACTAAAATAAAGGGTAACACGACTCGGGGCTCGTTGTTTTAACGCAGGTCCAATAGTCTTCGAAATTTCAAAACTCGCAGCACTGCCCTAGCGTAAACGCCGAAGCTCAAGTAGAACGAGATGGCCGCCACGGCGGCGCCGACGCACGCCCATTCGCGCACTGCACCTCCGCAAATGATCGCCGGCTTCAGAAGCCCTACCGTTGGCCGGCGGGTCGAGTAGCGCGTTCATAAGCGGAAGCAATAAGCCGAATCACGTTTGGAGAAGGTAGGAAATAAGTGGCGTATATTTTTTTCATTCCAGGCGCTTTCTAGCTTTTTGTAAATTTGGTATGTAGATTTTTTTCAATATTTATTTTATGCGGTTTTTGTTGTTTTTTGGAAGGTCGGATGGGGAAGCCCTCCCCGGGGGTTGCCCGTCGTCCTGTGCCCTTTCCACCGTATCCCATGGGCTTGCCCTGGCCCCACAGCGCCCGGCCCCAGCAGAATTTTCTCCCCAAATTCCACCCTACTTGTCGGTCTATTTTCTTCGCGCTTTTTTGCGTCTTTCGTTTCCGTATACTTGACACATTTATTGCCTTGCGCGCCTTTTCACAATAACGCTTTCCTGAAACTAAATCCCCTGCAAAATCTGCTGTGTCCCATCGATCACGCACTTTCGCTCAAGATATCTCAGGGTTTTCAGCGCAGGAATTGCGGTTCTCTAGGATTTTTACCACCCCATTCCAACCTTTAAATTGGCCGGCACTTGCTGTAATTCTCTTGTTATCCCGGCTCCAAGTATCCCTAGCTTTTCATTTTCGATTTTCGCGTTTTCCGCAGCATCCTTCTCTAATTAATTTGCTGTTTTCAGGTAAACTCAGCACGAGCAATGGCCCCGAAAGCAGCTGGAAGCCCCGCTGCGGCCCCGTCAAGAAGCAGGTGAGTAGGAAAGCTCTGGAGCCAGACCGAGATGGGTAGTGCCCGCTTTGCTTACCCGGAGTCTGTGCCGAGAAGGAGTTGCTACTCGGTCCATGGACTCGCCGGTTGTCGGTACGCGGTTACCACGCTGCTTGACCAGCAATTCTTTCTTTTTAGAAGAAGAATGCCGAGAACATCAACTCCGCCTCACGATGGTGATGGAAGTCTGGAAAGTACGTGCTCGGCCACAAGGAGACTCTCAAGAACCTGCGCAACGGCAAGGCCCAGCTCATCCTGATCGCCAACAACACCCCGCCACTCAGGTATCGTTTGAATTTGATGCCCTTTCCTGGTTTGCGCATTTGCCGTTCAAAATGGCGGAGCTATTGATGTTGGGAGCACCAAACCCACATTGATTGTATCAAAACTGGTGTTTGTGCGATGTTGTCTTGGATAGTTTTGCGTGCTGGTTCCGGAAAAACACTATACCAGCTTCAGAAACCCACGTTTTTCGCATACAAAATTCGGAAAGAGCGCGCAAATTAGTTTTATGTATTCTGTTAAGCTAACTATTTCTTTTCAGGCGCTCGGAGATCGAGTACTACGCGATGTTGGCGAAGACCGGCGTGCACCACTACAACGGAAACAACATCGAGCTGGGCAATCGCCTGCGGCAAGCCTCTTCCGCGTCGCCACTCCCGCCATCACTGATCCAGGAGATTCCGGACATCATCCGCAGCATGCCGACGGAGGGCCAATAAGCGTAACCACATTGTTATTGTTTTGTTGGTAATAAAGTTCTTTGCCGATTTTGCGGGCGAATGTTTTACGCAGAACACACGAGTATATATTGCAAAAGTCGTCGCGGCTGTACGAAAGTATTGGCATCAGAGTTGCCCTCAACCCGCTCATTTTTCTGGGTGCATTTCAACACAGCGCGCACTTCGCGAGTTGAGATACTTTATTCGAATAGTATTTTGGCTAAATTTCACTTTTTACGGTATGGTCCCAAAATGTCGATTTTTCGACTGGAATCGATCCAGCTCGATGAGTTTGTGCGTTTCCAGTTGAAAAAACGATTGGGAAACGCTTCTGGACAAAGTTATTAGCCTTTGAAAATTGACCAAAATGATTTCACTTTTTAAAGGGATTGCTAGCTGAATACCTAATTTAAGCCTAAAAATAAGGCGTCGTGCCACCCGGGGCCTAGTCGCTTCGGATGGGTGCGAGCTCAGATAGGGTTTCGAAATCGGGGGCCTGAGGAGCGCGCAGCGCCCAGGCGCCCCGATTTCGGAAGATGGGAGCGGCAGCCCATCCGGAAGCGACGGCCCGCCTTGCCTGACAATGTTGGAGGCCACAAATTAACTGTTATTTATTTATTCATGCTTAAATACTAGTTTTGAAAATTCTAAATGCTTTTAGATATAGGATGTAAGCGCTGGCTGAGAGGGCACGCGCTAGGAATGCGGGGATAGGAGTGTTGCGTAGCCTAAGGTCCTTAGCAAAAAATATCTTTGAAACGTCATAACTTTCTTATTTGAAATTTCCCAATTGTTTTTTCAACTGAAAACGCTTTATCTCATCGAGCTTATCGTTTCCTGTTCAAAAATTCGAGGTTTTGTCTACATACCGTAAAGTGAACTAGCGATTTTCAAAAGCTTATAACTTTGTCCAGAAGCCTTTCCCAATAGTTTTTTCAACTGGAAACGCACAAACTCATCGAGCTGGATCGATTCCAGTCGAAAAATCGACATTTTGGGACCATACCGTGTAGCCAAATTTTCCCAGTATTTTGACAGCCAGCTTTCCATACCCATTTGGTTACCCGTCGATCGCCTTACCTCGCGCTCATTCTGGATCTCCCTCGCTTTCGGAATCGCTAAAAAATCGTTGAGGGATCGAAGCGCTCACTCACGAATAATCGGCATATTGAAGTAAACTTGGAACGGCCGGCGTCTGACTTCTTAGCCTGTCACTGCTTTCAAAAGAACGGAATCTCAGCCATACCTCTCCGGAAGCTCCTTTCGCATCCACCATCTCTTCTTTTTCTTTGACCTTGGCTGAGCGCACCGGCTCGCTGCTGGTTTCAGAAAAGCGCCTAATCTGCCGGGCGGGCCATCATACTCTTCTTTTGATCAACGAGCCGACTAGCCTGGCCCTGCTGGCTTCCGACGGCGGGTTTCGCGGCGGTGTGGTGGTCCCAGCAGCAGCACGCCGGGCTCGACGCCGTCAGCGGAATCACATTGGCTGGCCAAGGCGGCAATCATCTCTTTTCCTCCTAAAACGCGCGCGTCATCAAACGCCTTGCGGAAGGCACGAACCTGCTTCCGTCGTCTTGCTTCGTCCAACTTCCTCTGGGATCCACCTGCGCCAAGAATTCGGATTCATCCTCGTCGACGCCGCGCATCATGTTTCCTAAACAAAGTTATTGAAAATCACGAAAAGTTTACGGCATTGCGCGAGCCTCGTCAAATTCGGCTTGTTTCTCTTGTCGCGGTTGTCTTTCAGCTGCTCGAAGAGGGACTTGTTGCATGCTTCAGGTTCCGGGGCCACTTCGTACTTCATTAATCTGCTGCCAAATACGTAAATCCCTCATAAAAAACCGTCACGAAACTCATATATAGGCTCGTCGGGCTTGCGCACCTTCTCCCATTCGGCTTGGCGGTCTTCGCGTTCTTTTTCAATGTCGCTTTGCGAGACAAATCCGCCTGACATCTTCGGATGCCAAAAAAAAATTTAGGAATTGAATCGGAATTGTGATAGAAAAACGAGAAGGTTGGATTTTCTGAATCTGAAGCCACGAAAATGCCGGCGTCGTATTGTTTGTACAAACCACCCTCTGGCCATCTGCGGGATGGATCGCGTAATTTATTTAATTTTTGAAAATACAAGATTGAATATCTATAGCGGTTTTTATCCAAGCTTTGAAGTGAAAATGCTGCGAGCATAATATGGATTTTGCGGGATGCTTTTTCATTGCTCCCTCCATGCTCTTTTACTTGTTTGTCGCTGCTCTAGCGGCCAGTTTCTAATTCTATTGATATTTTTTTCCTTCTGCCTAAACCCTCCTTTCCAGGCTCATCAATGGAGCACTACGTGCCCTCTGAATTGGACGCCTCAACGCTGGACGCGCCGAACCCGTTCCCCGAGCCCTACCAGACGGCACGCGTCATGGAGCTGAAGCCGAACACGAGAGTTGGGAATTTTGTCGACTACTGGCCCCACCAGCCTCGAGCAGAGGAGCCATTGCTTCTTCAAAGGTATCGGAAGTTTTTTTGCTTTTTGTGAGCAATTCGGAATTTTTAGCAGTTCTTTAGTCCAAGGGTTACCAGGGTTTTTTAATTAGGGTTTGATAGCTTCGGACTTTGATTTTTAATATAAGTAGGGAAGTGAGTTTCTAGATAATTTTCTGCTATTTCTAAGCCTCAGAAACTTAAAGATTTTTATTACAAACTCCAAAAAAATGTTTGATACCCGAATTTCAGCATTTTCCAAGTTTGCGGTTGTTTTTCACTTTAAATGTATCTAGTTGCGAAAAAAATTACCATTAAGCCACGTTCTATGAAGCATGTCTGGGCATATAGGAAAAGATTAAGATCTTTTTGTTCCGGATTTTGCGTTATATACGATTTTTTTCAGGGAGCCATGACTCGGCCGGAGAAAGCGGTGGCCTGTGTGGAGGTGTTGAAGCGGCGCACCCAACGACGGCTCTACCAATGGAATGCCCTCGGATACGGCAGGAAGACCACCTACTGGGACCCGACGATCGACGGGCTCGACCGATTACGCGTCAGAATCGATGAGAGAGTGATGTTCATCTCGTCTCCACCCAACCCTTCCCCGCCTGAGCACCCACACACCAGCATGCAGTCTTCCGATGAGCCAACGTCGGCTTTTGCCACCATGTCAGAGGATATGGTGGGTTTTGTAAAGGTTGTAGTCTTGGAGCTTTCGCGTTAGCGTAGGAGGGCTTTTCCTTCGCTCTAATTTTTCGAATTTGGAAAAGTTCTAAGCTAGGCTGTTTCTAAAGTCTTTCTAAGCTGTTTTTACCATTCACATAAACAAAAACGAGTTTTTCATAGCCAGCAATTTTGTTTTCGACTAAAACCTCAACTTTTCAACAAAATTTTGCCATGTCATTTTTTTTTGCACTTTGCACTTATTTGCTGCTTTGTTACTAGGCATTTCTGGATTTACAACAAAATCCGGTCCGGTCCCCCCCCCACCCTAATGCGAAAGAACATTAGCTTTTCTTTCCTAGGTGTTAGCAATTTTCATGAATATTGAAAACGGCACTTAAAAGAGTCGTCGTTGCTGAACATTTCCCTGTGTTTGAAAGTTCGACGAAAGCATAAAACTCGCGATATGCCAGCTTAAATGGTACTGGACTGTTAAGTGGGAAACCTGGTAATAATAAGGAGTTATTTCAAAACGTGTTTACTAGTTTTTGTTTCTGAATTTGGTTTTGCCTTTGGTATTTTGATAGTTTTGAGAATTCTGATGCAAGAATTTAGAATATTTTGAAGGCTTTTTTAGGAGCTTGATGCATCGAAAACTGCGTAAAATGCAATGATAATGGTTTGTAGGTTGTTGCAGAGTCGTCGGGGCTTACTAAGAAAAATCAGTTTTGCCCGGTTAACAGTCCAGTACCTTAAAAATTTTGGCCGACGTATAAAACTCGAGTTATCCCAGCTTGAATCCACAAATTTCGAATATATTGAGTTTTTTTTTCGCGCTTTTGAAATCGGCTTTCCTAATTAGGGTATTGTTTTCTGAATCCGTTTTATCCAATCCTTTTTTCAGCCCGCCAAACCGAAGCTCACCCGGAAGAAGGGGCGCTCGCAGTGGGAGTCGAAACAAGCGCGGCCAGCCGAAGGAACGTGCAGCATTTCCTGTACGAGGACGAGGTGAAGCGGCTGGTGGCCAGCGAACAAGAAAGTAAATGGGCGGGCCCGGCGCCCGGATAAATATGTTATTCTATGTCACCCTCGTAAAACGTTCTACACCTTTATCCTGCACATTGAATGGCGTAAGCGGTTCCGTACAGCACACGATCCGGCGGGGGGTGGCTACCAGTATTTTCGGGGGTCGTTTCTCGTGATTTGAAGTTGGATAAGTTAGCTTACGAAAGAGATCGAGGAGCGGAATTGAAGATTTTGGGGGATAGATATAGATTTCAGGGAAAGAGTAAAATACATCGCCTCGTTACTGGTCGTCCATCTTGTGCAGCGGCTTGTGGATGCTCAGCTGGTCGTAGGCGGGCGGAGCGCCCTCGGACGGCGGCGCCTTGAAGCTGTCGTTTGGCAGCTGAAAATTGGGGGGTTTTGGGAGGGTTTTTCTAGCCAACCTTGGCGACGACGGCGTACGGTGGAGCCGTCCCGGCGCCCGGCGCGTCACGACGACCCCAGCAAGTGTGCCACTGCAGCATTGCCTGAAAGCCGACGTAAAGGCAAAGCGATTATTGAAGCGACGTAAAAATCGGCCACGCCATCGCCGAATCGACACCGCGCATCATGTTCCCCTTACCCGCTCAAATGCGTCAATGGTCTCCCGGCGGCGCTGGATCAACGACAGCAACAACGACACGGCCGCCATGATGATCAGGATGCATAGGGAGAAGATGGCGATCTGCAGGTTTTTTTACATAAGAAAAACGATAAGACGTAGGCAGTTTTTTTGCTGAATTTAGCGCACAAATCGGAATGGACTGTTAGCGGGGGAGGGGGGGGCTGATTCTGGTTTTTTTTCGCCTGTAGAT